AATATTTGCAAATTTTATTGAAGTTTTGGACCGGTATAGGAAATCAATGTTTTGTACACATGTATATGCGAAAGTTTGTTATAGATATTGTAACTTAACATTGTACATGGCATTATATTTAATACAAATGATAGATTTTATTCAACAAGGTTTGGATTTCATTTTTTTTTATTGAAAATGTAAAACCGCAATAAGAAATAAATAGTTTATTGTCTGATGTGTTTTGTGCACATCGTCTTACTTTGAAATACATGAAATATTTTATCGGAACTTTTTTAACAAACATATTATATTAAAATATTAAAATATAAAGGAAACTATGAAGATAATTTAAATGTTGGAACAACGAACAATGATTAAAAACATTCTTGACATGTAAGTCTTATTAAATTAACCGTAAATGCATTGAAAAAGTACGAAATTTACTTTATTCGATTTTTAGAAAACCATTTATTTCAGATTACATTTATAAGACAAATCATTTAGTTTCTTGCCTTATCAATATGTTTTTGCCTGTCATGGCATTATTATTGAATGTACGAAATTTAATCAATCAATATTCATCTATAATACCCAGAAAGCCGTTTGGCAGAAATGGTTATTGCTTAACCAACTGTAATTATTTCCCGTTATTTAATTACAGCAAGAAAATGTCCGTAATGAAGCACTAAGGACGTAAAACTTCCGCTGACGACTAAAAAGGATAAGGATTAATGCTTTTTGACTTTGACTTATTCCTTACTATTCCTAATAGTTTTAAATGGACGACATCCTTGAAATACAGTTTAGGAGACAACTAATGATATTGTGATTGATAAAAGAAACAGAAAACATTTTTACTTTTAAACTGTCTTCGGAGAAATCTCGAAAAGTAGTTTTATTCAATATCAGCTTAGTTAATGTTTCTTAGTGGCAATAAAAATGATATACATAATGCATGTTTATAATTTAATGGTCAATGGAATATTCTAACTTAGATGCTTTATGTATGATGATATAAGTAATCATTGAAATTTAGTAGCTCGTGTGTAATTACATTCTTTTTTTATTCTATTTCGGTGAGTTATAACGTAGTAAAATAGTATTTCAGTCGACGTTTCCTTTATTTAAGTGTAATTAAAAATCAGTGTTAAGTAGACTTCATTTCTAACAAAGAAAAAGCCAAAAGAGTTTTGTTAGTATGGCAAAGAAAACCTGGGGTGAAGTTCAATGTGACGACGACCCAACAACACACACATACAATATACATAAACAAAAACTAACATTCTACAACTACTAACAGTTCAAACCCAACAACATACATTAACAAAAATGCATCCACATGTGAACATTCGGTCTTCAAAAGTGTCAATACCAAATTTCCAGCCCGAAATAGCACCAACTTTAGTAGAGTTGTAAATAAATTTAAAAGTTATAAATACTATCATATATATGACATCAACTCCATATAGCAACAAGTAAACAAACAAAACAAAATATAAAATAAAAGGCAACAACTGACAAGGTTACTGATATTTACACATGCACTAGTAATTGAACTTTAGTAATTAACGGTCATTTCAATCATAACATCATCTGAAAATCAAAACGTTCAGTCTTGTTAAGAGTTTAGATTATTTCTAAGATATTGTTTGGTTTTTCAATTCAGTACTGCTTAGAGATTTACCTTAATTGTAATCAGTTCAGTAACTGTTGAGAAGCTTTTACAATTCAGTATGTTGTTTTGTACAAGTAAATAACAAATACTGAATAGTCTGAACATATCTTAATTGACTGCATGCGAAATGTCTAAACAGTATAGAATTTGCTGCAGTGGATAAGTCTTAAAATCGACAGAAAATTTGAACATGATTTAAAAATTTATTGTTCAGTCCTTCTTCAAGAGCTTTTCAAGAAACAAAAGACCGTTTTATTTCAAAATTAAGTTACTAGTGAAGGATGGACAACAGGTGTAGCTTAACTAGTTCTCATCTCAACCCTTATCCTTTTCATTTCAATCAGCGGAATATCCAAAGGCGCATCCAATACAATATTCATAAGTAAGAAAAAGCACTTAATAATAATCTAGATAAAAGTACACGTTAAACAAAACCATAATAAACAATATCATGTTTCAAACTTCGTATGATTAAACGGAGATAATATTAACTTTAATGTCATGCATCAGAAGTGCTTTTCTGTAAATGCATCAGAAACGATCAAAGCCAAATATTTGAATGTAAAGAATGTATACACACATTGAAACAGTTGCAGAGCTATATGACCAAAAAAGACCTCAACATAATAGCCAAATCCATCTTAGGTCAACTTTGACTGAGGAAGTTGAAACCTTAGTTTCTTTATGATTTCTAAACGGACAATTTTGAAAATGTTTGTATCATGTCAGTACCGTGTACTGACTTTTGAGTTGATGATATCCTCGAGGACCGATAGTCCACCAGCATGATTATGTCAATTAGTTAGCAAATAAACCAAACAAAGATGAAGGACATCTAGAGGTCATAAATTACGGTTGTCAGCATAGACTGGTGTCTATACAATATGTTTACCTCTAAATCACCCGACTCGTAACTTCTGCCATCAACACCATACCCCTCAAGTGACAAAAACCAATATTAAAAAATAGCAGAAGACAACTACCGGCGACATTTTTAAATTATGTAATTCATGTTCATTCTCAAAAGATTAAACGAAAACAGTTTACTTATAAGTTCTATCAATAAGTTTGTGTGTATGTTTGTTAATTATCAGATGAGACTTTTTCTTTCATGTAGTGTTACCATGAAGTTGATATGATCACATCCATTTAAAACTTAGTACCCATGTGCATAGTGGCATGAACCTTTTCACATTATACGCAAAAATACGGTTTTGACCATTATTTCACGATTCATGTAAAATGAAAACTACTTAAAGTTCAAACTAAATAATTTCTATAAATGAACTACAAAGCATATTTATGTAAGGATCTGTAATTGAAACTGACTAAAAGTCGAATTTCAAACAAATAAAAGATAAGTTGAAGTTTACTGATGCAGTTAAATTAGCACCGTTAATGCTTATATGTGAATATTAATTATTTCACAAAATTACTACAAAAAATAATATTGAGCTAATACGCTTACCAAAGATCAGATTACTGGATTCGCGGTTGGTGAGATATTCATTTTCAATATTCCGATACATTGGAAACAGGAAGTTAAATTAACTTTTGAATTTCATATAAAAGGCGTTTTGTTTACACATTTATATTTAAGTTACTTAAATCCCACAATTAAGTAGTATTTGATGTAAAGAGCTGGAATATTAGCATTGGCTCAAAATTCAGCTTTAATTAAAATTTTGAATGTATTTATTTGAACTGTAAATAAGGCACTAATAATTCATAACTAAACTTTTGCTTGATTTGCATTCATACGATTTAGATTGATTGATTGGTGGTTGCTTTACACCGAATCAGCACAAAAATGCTATATCGCGGCAAATTCTCACGATTAGGAAGGTTATATAATACCTATCATTTCCATACTGTTGTGTCATTTAGTGTCTGAACATTTTTTTCTCTAATTTCTCAAATTATATTATCACTAAGACTAATCTATGGCTGATAATGAAGTCATTTAATAATTATAAACATTGCACTGACAATGAAACAAATTCTTGAATAAAACAATCGTGAGATCATTTTAGCCTTGAACACTTTACAATTTTCTTAGTGTGTAAGACAATGATAATCACTTTCTTCGTGATAAGTACTCGTTAATGCTCGTACTGAATCGTAAAGAAAGGGGTGATCATTATTTTACAAATATTAAATTGAATCTGAGACGTCACTGCAAATATACTCATACCGAGCATATGGCTGATTGATTGATTGTTGTTTGTTTATAGTCCATCCAGTGGTTTGAATAACAGGAGAAATGTACACTCCACAAAGAGGAACTAAAGGAACATAAGCACTGCGGAATCGAGACTTATATCACTATAAAAGTTAAATTTAGTAAGAGTGAGTTGTGGTGGAGGAATTATATTTAATAAGAAAAATCTTGATTGTTTAGAGAACATTGTCATACCGTCTTTATATCTGTAGGTATATTTGAAAATATTTAGAAAATGGTTTTTCGCTTTGGTCTTTTTAAAGTTAGCCATAAAGTGTGATTGAAAATATCAAAGGAACAAATCTAGGATACGTTATGGTGGGTAAATATTTATTTACTGTATATATGTAAGATCACTAATGATAGCCCACCTCATCGCATGGTCTCCAATAATGACCAAAAATTATGTGTCACTAAAGACAGTTTAATGTCATTCCTGACCTTGAACAGTAAACATTTTGTGTTTGGCACACTGTTTTACGTGACTTCTCGCCAAATATCTAAGTATTATCTGATATTCATAGAAATGTAAAGAGTATCATAAAACCATTATAACGTCAAATTGGCACTGGGAAAGTAATTCATGGTATGCTGACAAATTAATAGTAATTATCTCTGATGGCATGAACATTCTACAACGTTCGAAAAACTTCTGATTTCGTGAATTCGAAATTTTAAAGTTCATCTTTGAAAATTTCGAATTCACGAAATCAGAAGTTTTTCGAACGTTGTAGAATTGTTCCATTTGGAACAATTGATTGTGAAGATGTTCTTTCTACGCCGCATCAGACGCTTGACGTTAAACAGACTTCCATTATCATCATCGTCATCACAGCATCAAATGTACTTTCAGTCTAAAACCAGGGAACCTTAGCTCGAGAGTATCAAAGACACTATTTTTTTCAGATAAATTAATGCTTCTACATAAATATGAGAAGTACATTTTTGTTTAACGTTTTCATGTCAACCGAGTGACACAATTCATTTTCAACCAACATTAATTAAAAAAGAGTTTAAAAACAGCATCATATGAGTTAATTTCACCACGGTAAACTGGACGTCATGGCTTCAGATGTCAACAAGATCACTTTTGTCCATTCAGTTTTGACACAAAAAATATCATTATATAATCACTTTTTATTTTTTTAATTAACAGTATATGAATTGCACAAAATGAATTAGGACATTACATGTATGATTAACGACCATGAAACAATAACATATATATTGACTCTTTATTACAGTCAATGACTCAAAATAGTATGTATATGGCACATTTGTTTTTACAAATTAAATTGAAATGTAAAACCCGATGCGAGTAGTTCTAATAATATTTAGTGGCAGAAGTTAAGTTTTTATGGTTTTAAAAGAAGATTGTCTTAATTCAGTAGAATTAATGGATGAAATAGAACTTGTTCTGAAACAACATTGTAGAACATTTTAAATATTATAAGACAAATGAGCATTTACTTTCTGACATTCCATTTACATAGGAAGATATCCTCGAGTTTTATTTCGCAGCTCGTTTATGCTTATATTTGTATGTTAGGATAACAAACACTTTATGCACAAAATGAAAAGATCTTTTGGATATACAGAAAAAAGACAATCAAATGACTAGATATCAAATAACATATATACATTTAAATAACATGTGTCCACTGCTTCCACATAATCTCGTTATCGTTGTTAATTGAACGCTTATTTAGTCTGTCAATCCGTGCAGGAACAGCTCGGATTGGCTGACAACATATACAAATGAATGATTGGCGCTTTATTATTTTCTAGTGTTCAGCATGTTATTTGATATGTTGGTTCCTTCAACCTGAATACACGAAAAATGTTAAATCAATTGACTGGAAAATGAGAAATACATTTATCGTTCCCCTTCTAGACTGTATAAAGGGAAGATATTTTAAACACGCTGTCTTTCGTATCCGATGACTGAAGTCTTTCAGTCTTTTCTTTAAAGATGTTAACTTTTACTTTTTTGCCATTTTTGTAATAAGGCACGTTACGACCAACAAGTGTATCACTGACCCTTTGGTCATCTCAGGGTTTTAGAAAATATAAGCATTAGTATTAAGTAAAACCCGCTACTGAGTCGTGTTGAAGCTTTCGATTCTGATTGCTGTTGAGGATCATTTTGAGTATTATCGCCTGAAATACAAACAAAATGTATTATTAGTTTAGAATATCTTTCCAGAAATCGTGTTTTCAGCTTTATGAGTTTCATTTTTCATATTATTGAAAAAAATAAATACATTTGAAGGTTAAATTTGTTGCATTTGAAATTAGATGGTTAAATAGCACACAAAAAAGCTCAGGGTCATAATTTTAAACGTCCAACGACTGGTTATACGTCAATAAGACAGCAAGCAAATGAAATTTTATAAAAACGAACTTAACAAATGTGTCAAAAAGAAAAACGGTTCTGAAGGTAAGAATCAATTACCGACAGTGTATTCTTTAAATGACTTGATTGTTGTTTGATTTATGATCAATGGCAAATATAACATGTATATTCTGTTTATAAAATATTCCTATCGGTAACCTGCGAGATTGAAAATGCTGACTTTTGATCTGCCACTTACAAAATGGTTAATCATTTATATCACACAGGTAGGTAGGTTATTATCACGATATGGTTTAAGTTTCGATTTTTTTAGTATTAAGTCTAATTTCTAAACATATTCCTCTGTGTTCAGATATCAAAATTGTCCTTTTATTGAAACCATGGGACATTTTAACTTTCATTCGCCTGAAGCTGTAATACAAAAAGTTGATCCAAAAGGCAAATAAACCATGCTATGTTACATGTTTAGCTACGCTCTATTCTCAGAATCTAAACCTTATATCAATGTTCAACGAATAGCGATCCAGACATTTAACGTAATAATAGCGGAGTTGTCTAAAGATACATTAGAATCAATTTAATGACATAGAAACACTTTAAGTGACTTAGCTTTTCTGTCATGAAATTGACACTTAAATGTACAAATCATTTGTCAACTAAGGATACAGCATTTCATGGGTATCATCATAATGAAATAGATAATTTGATTACATATATCGTGCTTAGAAAGTTCAAGTAATTGTTTGTATGATATTTTCTTTCAATAGCTATTTTAAACTTTTAATCAAATCGTTCTTATCCATCCACCATATTTGTCGGCTATTGAATTTTTTATTCAAATTTTAGAACATACAAGCTTACAATACTAAAAAGTAAATGTAAATTTTTTTTCCATTAACTGGTTTTAAATCAAGTTATCTCTATGTAAACGTTACTTTCAAAATGCATGTATTCAAATGAACTAAGAGATAGCGAATAATCTGTAGAAAAAAGAATAATCAACCGTAACGGATTAAATGAATCTTCTGTTTTTGGTGTACAATTATTGCTTTGTCATGTTATTACAATTTTTTTTCTTATTGTCATGAAGCAAAAAATATCAGAAAACAGATAAAACACAAAAGTCATCTCCATGGAACATTTCATGCGTCAAAGCTTTGATGACAATCATTTAGTTTTTTTTTATAAATATTCACTAAGAATAAATACCTTCTCTTTTGATCTTTGTGATGTTATCTCCTTAAAGAATAAATGATAAATAGTGTTATATTTTTTACTAAGTAACAATTAAACAAAACCACATATATGTATAACATCAAACGATAGTCAGATTGAAAAACGGACCATATACTTTTCATCCATAATGTACCATTCATCATATATATTCATTATATGTATACATAAGGGGAAATAAGATAGTGAAAGGAGCAAATGTTTTTTCTCTTTGACAAAATCTATTTTGTTTCTTTTCTGTTTAAATGAAACAAGTCCATTATTTTTTTCCAAACTTCATAGCTTCGTGTGTGGTGATATTTTCGTTCAGAGCCAAAACCATACTACACAGGAAAGTTATAATTAATTGAAGGGCCTCCTTGTTAAAAGTTTGGCTACTGCTGCTCACTATAAAAGTTCAAGTTAAACATTATTGAAAATTTGGATATTTAACAACCTTTTTAATAATTGTTAAACGAATTCAAAACGTTTTAAATAATAACAACGCAGCACATTTTGCATGACTCTCGTAACAGTGGAAATGTACCTCGTCCGTGGTTTTCTTACAGCTTGAAGGGGCATTAGTGTCAAATTCTAATTCACCGATTTTGACTCCAATTCTCATATTTGATTTATAACATACTTAAACGTTTATCTAAACTACAAGAAGTCTAAAATAAACAATTAACAATGCATGGACTCGATAAAATGTATCAGCATTTCGTGTGCATTTCAGCCAAGACGCCATCTAAATAACCATCGAGATGACCTCCGAAGACTGCCGATAGTCATATTATCCGATATGAACATAAATAGAAATATGAATAGAAAGGGAGCACGCGCAACTGGATTTTTCTAGGTCTGTTTTATTTCATGTTATAGGCATAAAAATATGTAAATCGTTGTTTTAACGAATGATTTTTTGGTAGATAGAATCAGTCAACCAAATGATTCACCCTTGTTTCACTTTCAATGTTGACATTCTTTTCTTATTAATAGCTAAAAACGCATGTACATGCATAACCCATCTCCAACTAAGGGGTTACATGTAAACTGAAGGTCACATGAATACGGATCCAATGAGGTTAAATTATTCACTTGAGAGTCAATAATACATTAGCAATGTGTTTGAGATTATTTTGACAAATTTGGACCAAACTGACTACTTGTGACGAAATATTAATTCAAAATTACGCTTTTACTTATACTTGAAACAAAAAGAATCGTATTTTAAATTGTTGTCTAACTCGTAGCTAATACCCTTTTAACACTTACAAAATATGCATCTAAAACAGGATACTACTACAGTTATAAATTATTGATAGTAGTGATTTAAGTTGTACGTGTTCACTTGTTTTTACTGAGAGTGTATTCATAAAGGCACGTGCTTCAAAATTGTTAAAGGTTTTCGTATGATATTAAAGTTTGTAATAGCACAACGCGGCACATATTTAAGCAAATGATACACAGAAAATTGTATAAAACTAAGATGCTCTATAAATATAATGGTTTAAATCGTTGTATTATATTGTACTGCTTATATTTTATTTGTTACACAACTGACTTCTGATTAAGATTCATATGAACATTTCTGGCTTAACTCCATTACTTGTTAGAACAAAATGGAGGGTTGACTTATTTCTTACTTGTTTAGCGGTTAGACCTTCCTTTTACGGTTGAGTAAACGCTAATTAATAAATAAATATGTATAAACTTGTGTCAATAAACATGTTTGTGAAATCAAAAGAGAGGCAGAACCGTTAACAAATTAATGAACTCATTATATCGACATGTAAACTGTTTACGTCATTCCAATTACACACTGTAAAGATCATAAGTCAGAAATTAATTGCTTTAAAAGACAATTCTGATTAGTTTAACTGACAAGACAGCTCGTTATGCAATGATCAGGCAAACTGCAATTAATAATCCATCTGATGTAACGATTTATCAGTAATCTGGTAATGACAATTGGTCGCCTTGGCTCATTTGCTGCTGATTTCAGGAATCAGGTCTTAAGATAACCAGAAATAAACTGAATCATCTTGGTACTTAATCATTATTGTGTCTTGTAGTAAACAGGCATCCCGCAAGATAAATCTCATTACAACATCTCATTTTAGTCAGTCAGCCGTATCAATGTATAAACTACATGTACCTTAAAATGGAATCGAATTTTGTAGAAAGAAATCGTTTATGCGAAATTCAAATATTGCACAGTCTTTAGTTTTCTATGTTCTGTTTTGTATAATGTTGTAGTTGTCTTTTGGTCGTTTTTATTTTTTTGCCATAGCAAGGTCAGTTGGTTTACGACTTATGAGTTTGAATGTCCTTTTGGTATCTTTCGCCTCTCTTTTGCGCTAAGGTATTACTTACAATCAAATAATATTATTGTACTATATCATACATGTATCTATTACTTACCACCAAGAACATGAATGTTGATGCTCGTTGTTTCAACATCAGTATTTATACTTGGAGCTGAGCTTCTGCAAACATATATCCCAGCATCCTCAAACTGAACCCTTTCTACCGTTAACTGGCTAATAAAGGATCTCCCTGAATCTTCCGGTATAAAGTTTGAAACGACTACCCTGTTCCGCCATTTCTTTTTCTTTTCATCTATAAGATTGCCATCAAAAAACCAATCGATCGCCTCAGGGGCACGTAAAGTTCCAGTCGCATTACAAGTAAGATTCAATCTTTGATAGGCATTGAGGTACTTTGTTCCTGTTAGTCTTATGGCTGCAATTATAAATACACTATTTGATTCTGGGTAGTTCATAACATGAAATTTTAAAGCTTGAAATAATTAGAACTGGCTTTATAATTAGTTATGAAAATGAAATCTTGATTAATATTTCATTGGTTAATATACTCACATTATAATCTTACTCTGTCGTGAAGAGTAAATAGGATAAGTATCGGTAAAATTTCTTATAAAGTTGCATTTTAAAAGACAAATTAGTATTCCTAACTTTTTTTTATAAACTTATATTTGTACATATCAACAAAAAACACATGTTATAAAGTTACACTATCGGAAAAAGTATATATCTGACCGAAATTCCCGATTATGTGACTTATATTGTAGATTGACATTTATATACAGCCATTAACGAACTATTTACAGTAATGAAGGATCACATTGATGAACCGCAAAATTTAACCTGACGATGAAAGCAGGCAGAAATCTAGAAGATTTGACAATGATTTACTGGCAGCAATAAAATAGTTAGTTGGATGGTGACATACCGAAATAATCAATCCACTACTCTAAACTTCAATTGCATGACATCTGCGTCATTTGCTCGCAGATGTAAATGAAAGGCTACGATAAAATGTAATTGTATTTAACAACGTGTGTAACTGGTGAACATGGAACGGCGTGCCCTTGCGAGGTACCCGAAGTCACCACAAGTTTTGGTGATGTTCTTGTTGCTGTATTTTGTATATTTCTGTAAGTTATTTTGTAAACTTGTGTGTCTTGTCTTTTATTTTTGTCTGTTTAAGCAATTCTTCATGACACACACTAATAAACCAACCCACACATTATTATTTCAAATACTAGTAAATATACAGTATTAGGTCTATGTCAGAAAAATATCCACTTTTTTGTATGAGGCTTAGAAACTGGGAAAAAGCGAGGTTTACCGAGCCCTTCGACTGTTTCGTGCAGAGCAGAATACGAAAACGAACCAATAATTGTGAAGAAAAAGTAACGTGACATGACATCATCGACATCGACATTACACGAATTACCACTTTGTAACTTCATTAAGTAGATGAAGACAATAGGAATTGTTCTATCTGCAGTATAATATCTTTGTATTAAGCAGTTGCCACTTAGTGTGTTACACGCTTAAATTGGTACATTGTATATGTATAAAGAACTTTGTTTATGGTAGGCTTCTTAACGCAATGGTTCTCCCGTTCAATGTAAATTTTGTGATTGCATCATCGATTTAAATTATCAATACTTTACAGTATTCGGTCGCTTGCCATCCCCTGTAACTTTTTGTAAAGTATTTATCGTGCACTTAGACGGTTATCGTCTTGAATGTGCAATAAACATCCCGCCGGTCATTACGCAATCAAATACACACCAATTAAACTAATTGTGGTATTTTGGGGATATCAATATAGACTACTGAAGATATTGTTTTATAATACTCACAAGGTTGCACAGGTATTGGGTGTCCTACAAATAAACAAAATAAAATGTTAACTATGTCAAAAACTTCTCATGATTTTGAGAATCATTTATTTTTTCAACTTATTTCAAGTCATTTAAGGTAAATGGGGTGGACAGGTCTACAATAAAATCCATAGAATTTTTAATAATTTGCCAAAATATAGTTTATAACATGGCTTTTTACAAGCTACAGATTGTGAAAATTGTCAGATTTTGTATAGGTTTTTCATGGAAAACACAATTTTGTGTGATAGAACGAAAACTAAACCACGCAATTTTAAGATAGAATATGAGAAGAAAGCTCTTATAATGGACTTTCAAAATATAAAAAGAAACATAAGGGTCACGGGACATGTTTTTTTTCGCTACAAAACAAAATAGGTAAATTCATAACACATTCCAGTATGAAAGTTACATCATCTAAATTATTTCCCATTAAATGGCAAAGTTGAAAAAATTTAATAAAACAAAATATATTCTGTATTTGTAAAAAAACAGTCGCAAAAAATTGATAAAACACATAATTTTCTTCATTCAGATGAAAAGTCTAACAAATGAATGACATTCTTCTCTCAGAATTTGCTCTTTTATTAAAGATATAGACCGATTGTTGTTTGCTATTTTACAATCCAAAATGGTGGAAGAAACCCGAACTACCTTAATAAGGTAAGGTCATGCAGTGACAGCAAAGTTTCAGGCTGTGATTATTGTCTTCAACGAACCATGGTGTTGTCAGTTTATTTTCTACTTATGAGTTTGAATGTCCCATTGGTATCTTTCGCCTCTCTTTTACTCAACACTCTCGTATATATTTTAACTAAATACGTCACATCTAACTGGAAAATAACAGAGGTTTTTTCGCGAATATGTACTATTCAACGAATTATTCTCTTTGTATAACAATTATAAGTTGTGTCAAATGGTTTGTAAATAAGATGTACAAATGTATATTGATAATTGAGATAGAGGATATCCATTTAATGATACAGTTTTTAGGGTTTGTCAGAACTTGAGATTCATAAAAGTTATGTTGAAGTTCTTCATTCGTTTTAGGAACGAAAAAAAAACCACATATAAATCAATATGCACTTTTATGTCCGTAAACATTATGATGCATCACACAGACGATAAGATTTGACATATATACTTACTAAGGACAGTCAAATTGACATGATATGTGTAGACTTCGGCAGCACTTATTTGACATTCATAAGTTCCAGAATGAGACGGCTTTGCTTGCTTTATAATCAAGTTAATACTTGTTGTTATTGGATCATCTTCATGATAGTCGATACTCATCTCTTCATTTGGAGCATACATCATTTTGCCAACTGATAATGGGAAAAATTCTGAAACTTTTCGCCAAACTGGCTGTAAAAGAGAAGCATATCTAATTTTTAAAATGCAGTTACGTTTGGTTTGATCCTTTGGTTTGTTAAATATATTCTTGTATGTTAACTCTTTTATTTTCAACTGTAGCTTTATAACCGGCTATGAATTTTATAGTCCTTTCTCTCGCGATCCATTCGTCGTGATTCATTTGACTACTACACTTTCAGTAATGTCACTTTACATCGTTTCCTAGAACTTTCACAGTTATACATCTTGGGTGACAGCGGTTTTAATATATGAACATATAATTATATAATATAATCCTCAATGCCTTTGGTCGAACATCGAAAGTTTTGGAATGATTATTTTGACATGTTTATTATGATAATATACAAGTATGTAGACGTCCTTGAAGAATGGCAGAAGACACCAAAGGAATATTCAAACTCATAAGTCGAAGACAAACTGAGAATGACGTGACAAAAAACGAAAAACGACGTAAAGACATACAAAATAGAAAGTATGAAATTCTTCACTAGTAAACTAGAAACAGTCAATTTTATTTGAACAGATCTTCAAAGTCTGAACAATTATAAAATCATCAAGCCAAATTCAGTCTTTCAGTCAATTTTCAGACTTATCCACTGAAGTAAATTCAGTACTGATAAGATAACACGCTTGCAGTCCATAAAGATATGTTCAGTCTATATTCAAGAGTTATTATTCACATATACAAATCAACATCAAACTGAATTGTCTGAAAAACTACTGAACAGTTTTGAATTGACTGCAAGCGAATTGTCTGAAAAAAACTACTGAACAGTTTTGAATTGACTGCAAGCGAATTGTCTGAAAAAACTACTGAACAGTTTTGAATTGACTGCAAGCGAATTGTCTGAAAAAACTACTTAACAGTTTTGAATTGACTGCAAGCGAATTGTCTGAAAAGTACTGAATTTACCGTAGTTGATAGGTCTGTAAATTCACTGCAAGACTGATCATGGCAGATAGATTAATTTTTCAGATTTTTCAGATGATGTTAAGATCAAAAAGACCGTTTAAAGTATTATAGAAACGTATAACACGATAACAATTTCCCTATACTCCTCTAACACTTGAATCAATGACAACGATGCTTGATCCAAGTTTACTAATATTATACAGACAAAATATTGATTACAACTGTACAAAATGTCCAAGATAATATTTGTAACAAAGTAAGAAAAACAGATGGTTCAAGTTATTGACGAAAAGACATTATGAATGTAATTCGTCTTAAGTGGGCAGTTTAGAAATGTATAACAGTAATATCCCACTTACATACCATATGTTTCAAATACTTCGCCAATATTTTTATCTGTACATCAATACAATAATCTTTGAGTTTTTAATTGTATCACTTGTATAAACGCTTTTAGTCAGACAGTTAATTTTCATACATTTTTTTAGGCAAGGTGTCTTAACAGCAGTAAATTGAGTGTAGTATAAATATTTTTATAATACGTTTTGATCAAATTGACCATTTTACTCCGAAGTCTTAAATTTTAACGGTGGAAAAATAAGACAAAAGGAAAATCAAAATTATAAGCCTAAGAAAAATATACAATTCCATAGCAACAGGGGGTTCCGGTGATCCGGAAGGGTGACAGAACCTTTTCTACGTGTAAAATCCGTGATGCTAACTGCAAGTCAGTTGCGGTGATGATTCTCATTTAATGATTTTGCATTGGAGGAAAAGAGGACGAGATTGTAGCTTAAAGAATTGGAACATATTCATGGTCATCTGTGACACGTATTCCATATGTAACGTTCACCCAAATCATGACTGGGTCCGTAAAACTTTCGAAGGGATGTAACTTGTAAGCCTGGTATCTTTGGGGAGTTTTTAACTCCATGACAAATATGTTGTTGTCCCGCAAGACAAAGCTGCGACCAATATCGTTGTTTTTGTATGTAAATAAATCACTTATATATAAACTACATTGCAAGGTACTAAGATAATTATTTTTGTGACACAAAATGCATTCGAACGACTTGAAAGGAAATATTTTACAATCATAATCCTGTTATATGTTCATTAGATATCATAATATAGTTGCCAAACTGGATATTCGTTCGATTCACTTGCTAACCAAATTACATAAGAGTATTCAAAACCAATGTTATTTTGATCGTCTGTCGAATGCTCTACAATCTGTTTATTTTAGATTACCAAGCTTTATTCAGTTAGCAATCATAAACCGGACTTTATTTATAACTGTCTACATTGGATGCGATGTGTATCAGTTTGTTGATACTGAGGAAATTCTATAGATCTGTTAGTGTAATATAATCTATGACCCTTTTTTTGGTGCAATAAAATTTAAAAAATATTTTACTTCTCCAATTTTTACCAAAATTTCCCTCAATTTTATTCAAAACAGATTGAATGAAAGTCGAACTTTTTCCCATCAAAAAGAATGGTCAACATAGATACGAATATCTCAATTTAGGAGTATACAAATCATAGATTATTTAAGAAAGTTAATCTGATTCTAACAACAATTTTTTTGAAACTGACATTATAAAGTACTTGAGTTTAAGTCATTTATTTTGTTATGTGTGCTGACATGCTTATTCCTGTGTCAAACTATGGTTCTCATCACACCGACTAAAACTTTCATTGGCAAGATGCCGCATTCATTGAAGGTTTTTTTTGTAAGAGGAATGGATAGCTAGCATCAACCTTTTACTCTTCGTTCCGCTATATACATTATGTCCAATAGTTTATAGTTTGGTGACTGTTTATGTTTTGTACTAACACGAGTAACACGACGGGTGCCACATGTAGACCAGGATCTGCTTGCTACCCTTCCGGAGCACCTGAGATCACCCCCAGTTGTTGGTGGGGTTGGTGTTGATTAGTAATTATTTTTCTATGTTGTGTTTTGTGTACCGTTTATATAAATAAGAAGATGTGGTATGAGTGCAAATGAGACAACTATCATCCAAGTCACAATGTGTAAAAAGTAAACAATTATAGGTCAAAGTACGGCCTTCAACACGGAGCCTTGGCTCACACCGAACAGCAAGCTATAAAGGGCCCAAAAAGACTAGTGTAAAACAATTCAAACAGGAAAACCAACGGTCTAATCTATAAAAAACGAGAAACGAGAAACACTTATGAACCACACCAACAAACGACAACCACTGAACAACAGGCTCCTGAATTAGGACTGGTGCATAAAAATGCAGCGGGTTTAAACGTTTTAACAGGCACCAACCTTCACCCTAACCTGAAACAGTGGTATAACATTACAACATAAAAAGATACACAATAAAATATCAATTGAAATGGCTTAACTCGATCAAAAAGACAATACACAAAAACAAGTAAATATACACTGAACGAATAAGTTTGATCTATGACACCATATAAATAAAAAAAGATGTTTCAATGTCAAAAATACAACTTTAACCTAGGACAAAATGGCGTTAAATATAAGTAAATTAGAATATAATAATTTTGTCGGTTTTTTTTTTCTTTTTTTTTAACCATGGCGTTGTCAGTTCATTTTCGACTTATGAGTTTAAATGTCCCTCTGGTATCTTTCGCCTCTCTTTTATCGCATTAATTGATATAGATCTTTATTTAAAATAAATAGACACCTCCGATCAGTTATTCATATTTAACATTTGGAAATGTACAGCAGTGCCAGTTACGACCTAAATCTTAAGACTTAAAAATATTTCCGTTGTGGACCTCTAAGATTTACGTTGCATCATTAAAACTGTATCTACATATGAAAATTATATATCTCTGTTGATACTATAATCCAGGTATTGCGTTTCCTATAATTTTCCCAAGAGTTCCGAATGTTAAAATAGAAGTCGTCTTTTCGAACGTTTTACTAGCTAATATGATGGGTTTCACATGTGGAGTTGGAACTGCTTAACCTTTCGAAGGACATGACAACAGTTTCATCTTATCGAGTACAAAATTAATTTTGAAAAAAAACAGGCAGTTATTCGGCTCGTAGCATTAAGCTTGTATTATCATATGCAAACTAAAACATATATTTGTTTGAAATGTGTCATTCGTCCAGAAACTGTTCCTGAAAAATCTCGAATTAGCTGTTTTTTATGCCGTATAAGCAACTTGTTAGCACACCGTATCAACATTGTATATCCTTTACCCAGTAATTTAGTGTTAAATCGCATTGGAATTCCTACTCTGAAACTATTAGATTATGTTAGTTAATAAAGTACATGTAACAGGGACATTCTGGCTAGAAGATAAATGCATTTTCTTGTGTTACTAGAACATTTACACATATGTTTTGTAAATTTTAATTGAATGTTATCAAACATGTACAGATAGTATGTTAGTTAGTTAGTTATTATTTCATATGACGACGCCAAACATTGAAAAAAGTTAATCAACGTAATATGATCAACAAGGATATTTATTGTTTATTCGGACACATATTTCTACTTAAAATATTTTCAATTTCAGAACAGAAAACTAACGAAACGTTTACTTTCATGTGCTTAAACAAGATAAATATACACTTCAAAATCAGCTCTATACAACATTCTGCTCATTACCTATACTTTTATCAAACGTTTCTTTATGATAAAAACAGAACCAAGCATTAATCATTAAGATTTGATTTTCAAAAAAGAAAGCTAACACTTTAATTTCACGAAATCTTGTAAATAGTTAGTTAAGATGATTTACATCTATTCATTGTGCCTATTTGTCGTTCGAGGTGAATTACATGGTTGTTTTGTTAACTAAAGGCTTTTTAGGTAGTTTGTCTTTGGAGAACCCTTGGTTCAATAAATTCTTTTTGTAATCAGCAATCCCCTATAAATGAAATAAGTTAACGATTAAATACAAGGTCCATGATTAGTGTATCAGCTGAGAGGAAATACAGTGTTTAGTCATATGACTGAAACTTATATAATGGTGAACTACGTCTGTCTGTAAAAGACGTTTAAATTCGTAATTTATTTGTGTTTTACAGCAATTTTCTTGTTTCACGAATTCACTTGTT